TACCGTTTGGAATGTCTTTGTTACTCCTCTCATTGGCTTGAGTCTGCGCAGCTTGGGCTTCCATGACTGCCCCAGGCTGCATGGCATCCTTGCTGCTTTGGCTCTGTAGCCTCTGGAGTCTGTGCTCAGCCTCTCATGTTCAGTGTGCGCGGACTCTTCGTTATCCATTTTACAGAGTGGCCATTCCCTTTGTCTAAATCACTGTGGTTATTCCAATTTCTTTTGTCTTTATCTATTTAGGAACATTTCACTCAGAGGTAAAATAAAGAGAACTAATCAAAAGGACATATGATTTGAACATTATAGCTAATTCTAGTAGATTTCTTCATTTAGCTCTAAAATAATGATATACAGTTAGTCTTCAGTAAATGTTTATTGAAGTAAGAGGTCTGGCTGTTTTCAATATTTTATATATAAACAGAGACATAAATATGTAGATATGAATGTGTGTATGTATATGATATATTCTTATGTAATCATGTCAACCTCAGTATTTATTTGTAATGGCCTCAGTTTAGTCCGGTAATAAGAAAGTACATATAATGTACTTTCTGTAAAGGAAGCATCACTTTCATGAAGTGATAAAACCAGATTGGGAACTTGCTGCATCTTATTGGAAGTGCTTTTAAATTCAACAGTGATGTGTTTTTATTTCTTGTTAGCAGGAAGATTTCAGGCTATATTTCTTAAAGAGTATTTAATCATATTCAAAGCCCTCCAAATTCTATAAATTCAAAATTTACTAGAGATAAATGGTTTTCAAAGTATTATTTATTTCTTTTTTAAAAAAAGATTTATTTATTTTTATTGCAAAGTCAGGTGTACAGAGAGGAGGAGAGAGAGAGGAAGATCTTCCATCCAATAATTCACTCCCCAAGTGGCCACAACTGCCAAAACTGAGCCGATCTGATGCCAGGAGCCAGAAGCCTCTTCTGGGTTTCCCACATGGGTACAGGGTCCCAAGGCTTTGGGCCGTCCTCGACTGCTTTCCCAGGCCACAAGCAGGGAGCTGGGTGGGTAGTGGGGCAGCTGGGATTAGAACTGGCGCACATAAGGGATCCCAGCGCATTCAAGGCGAGGACTTTAGCCACTAATACTTTGTTGCCCAAAGTATTATTTCTTTATTTTAAATACCAGAGAGACAGAGAGATTGGGAGAGACAGAGAGCAAATCTTCATTCACTGGTTCACTTCTCAAGTGGCTGCAATCCATAGTACTGAGCCAGGCTGAAACAAGAAATCAGGAGATTCATCTGGGTTTCCTACATAGATGCAGGGGCACAAGTACTTGGCATATCTTTCACTTCTTCCCAGACACAGCAGCAGGTAACTGGATTGGAAATGGAGCAGCCAGGACTCGAGCTGCAACCTGTATGCTACAATGCTGTCTCCTGTAATTAACTGTTGGATATTTATTTCTGTCGGTACTTGTGTTAGAAGTTATTATTATTATTTTTTATTTTGTTACAGATTTATTTATTTTTATTGGAAAGGCAGATTTACAGAGAGAAGGAGATACAGAGAGAAAGGGCTTCATCTGCTGGTTTACTCCCCAAATGACTGCAGCGACAGGAGCTGAGCTGATCCAAAGTTAAGCCAGGAGCTTCTTCCACATCTTTCACTCAGCTGCAGGGTCATCCTCCACTGCTCTCTGAGATCATAAGAAGAGAGCTGGATGGAAAGTGGAGTAGCCAGGATGTGAACCAGCACCCATATAGGATGCTTGCAGGTTCAGGATTAGTCAATTGAGCTGTCCTCTTGGCCCTAGAAGAAGGTTTTTTAAACTTAAGTCAGTTTATTTGATCAATACAGTGTGACAGATCTAGACAGAACTTCTCTCGCTGTTTCATTCTTTACATGTTTGAAATGCCCAGGACCAGGTTTGGCTAAAACTGATAAATCAGGCACTCTGTCCAGGTCTTCCCAAGTAGGTAGCAGGAGTTAATTACTTGAGATTTCAATGCTGCCTTCTCAGATCTGGAATCAGGAACTGGAGCAAAAGTTCAAACCTAAGTACTCTAGTACAGGATGTCAGCTGCCTACTACGTGGCATAATTGCCAGACCAAACACCTGCTCATAAAAATTTATTCCTATCTAGCTAGTAATAGCTGACAGTTGATCGGATGCCAGTCAGCCAACCTGGAGTGCAGGAGTGTCTATAGCAGTGTGATCAGCCTGGTCTGCTCCCCTGTCATTAAGGTGAGTGAGATACAGGCAATTGGGACTGTGGTTAAGAGACCTCTTAGAATGCCTGTATGCCATGTTTCATTGCCTGGGTTTAAATGCAGGCTGTGCTCCTGATTGCAGGTTCTTATTTGTGTACATCCTGGGAAGCAGTAAATGATGGCCTGACAGGATGGATTACTGCCAAGCTGGCATTGGGGAATGAACTAGTGGATAGGAAATATCTCTCCTTGTCCCTTGTTTCTTTCCTTTTCAAATTAAAGAAATGTTTTCCAAGATAGGACCAGGAACTCAAGCGTGCATGATGATGGCTCCTTGCAGACCAGGAAGCTCCCCCACAAGCCAGATGAGCACTGCAGGAGATAACCACACGCCTCTGTAAGGGACAACCCCATCACTGTGGTCTGTTCACTGCAGTGTAGGCAACAGGTGCTGTGGTTGCTCGTCTCTGGACCCTGCACACTGTTGAATGATCCCTCTTCTGATTTCCTTTTTCCTGTTAAAACCAGCAGCCGGCCTGGCAGAAGGATCACCTCTTTCTTCCCTAATATCTGGAGCCTTATGCTGATGATTCCCCCAAACAGACTCCTTCTTAGCAGCATAAGAAATGATTAGAGATTAAAGGTATAAAAGAGAACCATTAAAGAATATTGACCTCCAAGATTGGGCTTTGCAGTGGAGAGAAGGAAAAAGTAAGAGAGAAATGCCATTTTTTATTCTTATCACTCTGTGAAGAAGATGAACCAGCCCCAATGAGTTTGTATACATACAAAGTTATATGTATTCATTATATATACATTGCTCTTTATATACATATATCTACGCAAAATGAATCTCAAGTTCATGGGACATAGATATTATGAAAAATCTTAAGCATGGGGTTTTAAAAATTAACTGTTTTTAAATTTCTTTTTCCTATAATTTAAAAAAATTTTGTATTTTAAAAAAATTTATCATAAAAGATACACAGAGGAAGAGAGACAAAGAGAAAGGTCTGCCATTGATCGACCCACTCCCCAAGTGGCCACAATCGCCAAAGCCTCACTGATCTGATGCCAGGAGCCTGGAGCCTCTTTGGGCTCTCAGATGTGGCTGCAGGTCCCAAAGCCCTGGTCAGCCCTCGATCGCCTTTGCAGCAAGTTGGATGGGAAGCAGACCTCTTGGACAAGGGCCAGCAACCACATGGTATCCCAGCACATGCAAAACGAGGACCCCAGCTGCTAGGCTACTACAACAGTCCTCCCAAGAATTTCTGAAGTACTTTTGTTTATAATTCTTTAGATTTCTATTTGGGGAAGGTTCTTTTAAAAAATAAGAATGTACATGATAACAGTTTTTTTTTTTTCTCCATACGTCAAGTGATAAATTATGAAGTCTTTCTCAACTGTAGTTTTTGGTTTCTTCTGCCAGAGACCACTTGTGTGTACACCAGGATATTTGAATGTTATATGTGTGTGTGTGCCTTCATACAAATCAATCCACTCTGCACTTTTTAAAATTGAAGTTTTTGTTCATCTTAATGTAGTTAGCAATTTCTAAAAGATTGAGAAGGTTAAAAACTAATATGTGTATGTATGTACTTTTGTTTAGTGGATGGATCTTTGATGCTGTCCTTTGATGAGAACATCAGGATGGGGCTAGTTTCCTGGTATACTTAGACAAGCCTCCACCTGCAATGGCAGTATCCCATATGGGTATCGTGAGTCCTGTCTGCCCCTCTTCCAAGCCATCTCCCTGATAATATGCATGGGAAGGCAGTGACGGGTGATTCAAGGACTTGGGCTTCTGCCTTCCTGAACGGAGACCCAGATGGAGTGCTAGCTTCCTGGCTTTGACCTGGCCCTGGCCTCATTCCTTGCCACTGTTTGAGGAGTGATCCGGTGAATGAAAGATTCTCTGTTTCTGTCTCTTTCTCTTTTTCTCTCTGTGTGTATGTGTAACTCTACCTTTCAAATGAATAAAATAAATAATTCACAAAGGGAAGATCACCAGGTTCCACAGCCTTCCTGTTGTCCCTGTTGAAGCAGTGATGCTTCCTTTTACTCAAAGCATCTAGTACTGTGCAAGACCAGATGACCTGCTTTTCTTCCCAGCACAGAGGAGTCACACTTGTTGAGCCTGCTATTTGTTCAATTAGGTAAGTTGCTTGAGTTTCTGTGTTATCTCTGTGCTTTTATGTTCTGTTGTCCTGGCTCTGCACGTACTGAATTACGCTAAGAAACTATGTTTGGAATACCTGGAAATGTGACTGATATATGATTTATTTTACTGAAATATTTGATTGCCATGTATTTTACAAGTTTTACGTGTCTTACAAGTTTTGCCATGTTTCCTGCGAGAGCTAGCACTTACTCATTTTTAGGGTAATTCCCAGTAAAATTACCTGAGTGGGACATAGAGAAAATTCAACATAGACTGTATAATTGAGAAGAAGACTTTATAAGGAGACTGAGAGGGACTCTTAAATAGTTTTTGTTAATTTGAATCATGGTTTTATTCTGATCCTGGAATCTGCAGTTTCTTAAGAGGACTTAAGTAACTGAGAAATTTTTTTTGTAAAGCTCAGTAGGCATGCTTTTCTAGAGAACTTTATGAACTAGTTAGTATTATTGTAATAACTAATAAAATTACTTTTAAGTATTTTGGTTATTTCTTCCATGTAATATTCATTCTTCACATGTTTTTTTGAAGACCGTGGCTCAATTTTACACCACCACAGGCAGCTTAAGGAGCCACATGATATACACATGGCCAGCTGTATCCTTGTCCCCAACTGAGAGCCATGGCATATGCAGTAGGCATTAAGTTCGGGATTTTTTTGGATCCTAGGCATGAAGTGGCTCTGGCCACCTACACAGGCATCAAGTTAGGATGAACAAAGGACTGCATCTGCCCTGCCTGATCTAAGAGCAGCACCACAAATGAGATGTCTCCTTGCCCATTGCCAGGAGCAGTATCCTTCACACTCTTGCAAGTATTTTTTTCCCTCTCCTTGTAGGATAGGTATGAATCCAACAAGGAAACATGTAAATGCCAAGTCACAATGAAACAATATTTTTTGGTGGGTGGGGCAGGGACATAGCAACATTCTGAGGCTGAGTAAGTTCTGTTTCATTTGGGCACTGAGTAGAAAAAAGAGGGGCATCAGAGATGCTCAGAGTTAGGTGCTGTGACTTGGAGATGAGAGAGGAACTTGGAAAGGTGAGGGTACTGGAATGCACTGCTTTCTTCAAGTCTTAAAAGGAATTATGTGATATATTCTTTGGCTAAGGGATTCTGAATGAAATCACAAGAAAGACAAAGCAGAGCAGGATCGGTGGGCTATGTGGAAGACTCAGAGCTTTGAAAGCCTTTGTCAGTTAATTCTGCTTCTCCTTTTCCTCTCTGCTATCCATGGCCTTCTGCCCACGACTGGAATCTTTTAGAACATATTTATTTATTTGAAAGAGTTATACAGACACAGGAGAGAGAGAAAGAGGAAGAGGTCTTCCATCCACTGGTTCTTTCCATAGATGGCCACCAGGGCCAGTTTCAGCCAAGGCTCTGATGAGGGTGGCAGAAGTCAAAACACTTTGGCCAACTTGTGCTATTTTTCCTATTTTTCCCAGACTGTTTTCAGTTAACTGGGTCAGTAGTAGAACAGCCAGGACACAGATTGGTGCCCGTATGGGATGCTGGCGTAGCAGATTTAACTTTACCTACACTGGTCCAGAATTTTTAATTTAATGGAAGTTCACACAGATATGCTTGTGGTGACTCTGGTGATTGTTACACCTAGATTATCATCAATGTAAAGGTTCAGTATTTCTGCAAACTGTTAGAGGAATTAAATTAAGTAATTTTTAAAAGAGACTTTCTCACCGAAGAGAACTCATCATTGATGTAATGTTTTTACCTTAAGGAGAAATTTGATGAACTGCTGTCCTTTGCTGTCCTTTAATATCTGTGGGGAATCGGTTCTAGGAACCCTGGTGGATAACTAAATCAAGGAATGTTCAGATTCCTTGTATTAAACTGCATCTACACATCTTCCTGAATAGTTTAAACTACCACTACATGTAATACCTAGTACCGTGTAAATGATAGGTAACTAGTTGTTATGCAGTGTGATTTAGGGATTGTTGGCAATTATACACACACAAGTTTTATACACCTAACTACATTTTTGATCCCCAGTTGGTTTGAAGTTTCAGAACCCAAGGATATGAAGGGCTGACTAATTCCAGAGGTGTCTGCACTCCCCTTATACAAAACTGAACATGTATAAAAGAATTAGGTGCCAGTGTTTAGCACCAGTGATTAAGATGTGGCTTGTCACACTCAACATCCTGTATTGGTCAGCCTGACTTCAGGTCCTTGTTCTGTTTCTGATTCCAGTTTCCTGCTGATGCACGCCCTGGGAGGCAGCTGGTAATAGCTCAAGTCCTTGGGTCCCTGTGTCACCAGATTAAGTTTCTGGCTCTTAGCTTCAGCTTGGTTTAGCCCTATGCACTGGGGACAGTTGGGGAGTAAACTGTTGGATTAAAGAACTCCCTACGTATCCCTATACCTTCCAAATAAATGAAAATAAATTTAAATTTGCCAATTTTTTTTAATTGGAGGCATGTATTGTGGTCTTTCATATTAAGCTACCACTTACGATCATGTTCTATCTCCACTCTCAGTCCTAGTTCCTGCTACAGTGCACCTGGGGAGGTGGTAGGTGATGGCTCGTGTACTTTGGTTCTTGCCATCATGTGAGAGGCCTAGATAGAGCTCCTGATTCTAGCCTGCTCCACCCCTGGCTGTTGCAGGTATTTGAGCAGTGAACCAGCAGATGGAAGAAATCTCATACCCCTCTTTCCCTATTCTGATATTCTACCTTTACAATAAATAAACTTGTTTAAATAAGTGGTAGCATTGAAAAGGCATCGCTCCAAATACACATCATACTTGAAGGAGCAGAAGCCCATCAGTAGTAGTTGATTTCTGGCTTTTCTGCATTCTAATGTGTAATGCACATACTGATTTTGGAAAAATCTGATTTCTTCCAGAAGCGAATATGACTTAAAAGAATAACTTGAGGGGAGCAAATGCAGGTCTTTGGCTGCTGTTGCTGCTTATTTTCCTCTTATTTCCACTGTCAGATTATGAACTTACTAGGCAGGAAGGGGTAGAGGAAACACTATGTCCTGTTCCTTTAACCTGCATAGCCAACTATGTTAGGATGTTATCTTCCTGATGATAGGAAGGAAATAAAAAGAATAGAAGAAGAGCTGCAGATTATAGGATTTGGCATCAGTGAGGAATCCTTGCTTCATTATCAGAAATCTAGAATTATCTGTGTATATCCCAAAGCTGCTAACAATTGTGGGAGAATAGTTGAACCATTTTAGAAATGAACCTGTAAATGTGGCTCCTGGATGTCATCTTTCCTTGATATACTGCCTGTCCCTGTATTAATTCCTTTAGAATCAGTCCTGGTTGCATATTTCTGTTGCTGTAGATATGGCTTCCATTGTGTTGGTGACCTGGAGTGAAATCTTGAATACTGCTGTGGATTTTTTTCTCCCTACCCCTCTACTACACGATAATTTCTTTTTTTCCTCTTACATCCATCCTTTCTTCTCAATTTGCTATGTAGCCATCCTGGATGTAACCACTTGTACCACTGAAATTTAACACTGATTGCCTTCTGGAAACATTTTGCTTGATATGATGAAAGATAATTGAAAGCTTTTTGTATTTCAAACTAGGGATTCAGCAGAAAAACAGTTTGCTGTCCTGAGTTTATATTTTAATGAGGTGAACAAGTGCATCAACAATTGCAGTCAAGTGAGATAGTAGAGGGTTCTGAAGAGATAAAGACCAACTTGGAATAGAGAGAGGGAATCCGGAAAGATTTTCAGGAGGAAAGTAATTTTGCAAACTAAAGTCTCCAGTTAGTTAATGTTTTGATCCATGTAGTTTAATTTTTAAAGCTTCATTCGTCCTCCTTTTTCTTTTGAAAATTTATTTATTTATTTGAAAGAGTTATAGAGGGAGAGACAGAGAGGGAATCTTCAACCTGCTGGTTCATTGCCAGGCCAAAGAAATCAGGATCATCTTTCTGGTCTCTCATGAAGGAACTGAATTGAAAGTGAAGAAGTCAGAACTCGAACCATTGCCCGTATTGGATGCCAGTGTATCAGGCAGTGGCTTTACCCCCTATACCACAAAGCCAATATGCCTGCCCCAACCCTCACCTTGTTCTTTAGGTTAGCTTTTGTTCTTTATTCCTTTCCTGTCTGAAATGGATGTGGCAATAATTGATTACTATGTACTTAGTAACTTTCCAAGTGATTTAGAAACACTTTGTGTTCTCTTTAGACAAAAAGCCCAATTTTTTCACAGATACTTGACTACTGATTATCTGAACTGCTTACACCGTTGAGTCTAAAAACAGTCCATGTATAGGCTGAGTCAGAAATCCTTTAAGAACAGTTTCTCACACACGACTGGAGTTCCGATAACAACCCAGTTCTTGTTCTATTGGCCAGGCTGGGCATCTGAGATTTTTCATTTCTAATTCCAGGTGTTACTTGTCCTGCTTGGAACTTGAACTTGTTTGCAATAACAAGCTTTTAGAGGATGTAGAGAGATAAGGCATTAAAGTAGAAACAAGTGAAGCTATGTTTTCCTCTATCCATGTGGATGGCCTGCAGTCTGCATCCTGTTCATTCATTTACTCCTGCCAATCTAAGTCAGCAAAAAATTACCCAGCTGTTTTGGTCTTGCTGGTGATCTGATGGGAACACTTCTGTCCTTTTGCTTCCTTCCCCACCCCACCCCACCCCACCCCACCCACCAGGAATGAGTCTTCTCCTTGTCACTGGGAGCTTTGATAAAGTGCATATCCACCTAATTGAGGCTGTGATATGATTTCTTCAGGCCACCTCCCCTTCTCCGGCCCCCGGCTCTGAGTAATAGGAAACCCCGTGTTTGGCAGTAGGAGTTGTTCCTTTTGGCATTCTGCCTCCAACCCACTGCCTTGTGTAACATTCAGGCTCTGAGAATGGCTTCTAAAGCAAGGCTGTAGCCTATAAAGTGTAATCAGGAACTGGAAGAAGGTTTATCTTTAGCTTTTAGGATTCCTGTTAAGAAGTTTTCTTGTAGCGTTGGCAGGAGAGTGACCTGCTTATGGCCTGTTGAGAGAGCCTGCTGGAGTGCAGCTGGGCCTCGGTTCTGCAGTGTTTCCCTTGGTGATTTTCTATGGGTCTTTTACTGATGACACCATACTCTGGCGTTCTGCAGGTATTCTTATAGACTGATGTCAGAAGAGCAGTTGTTAGGGGACATTTTGTTCCAGAGTCTTTATAAGGAATGTTAAGAAGTTCCCTCTTGATGGGGAACTTCCCTATGGAATTCCCCCCACAGACTGAAGTTGCAACAGTGGCCTGTAGATTCCTGAGCTCTGTTTCAGAAAACCTGATGTCAAGCAGGTGAGGGGGAGCTAGATAATGGCCTGGGACCTTGATTTTTCAGATCTCACACTGCATCAGAATCACCTGAAGGGCTTGTTAAATTTGTACCATTTCGTTATTTTCCTATGTCTTACAATTCAGGGACTTAAAAGTGATAGCCTGGAAGGTGGGCATCTGTCCGCAATAGCACATGTGCGAAGTGGAAGGATACCTCCATTTGGAAGAGAGAGGGAGAGCAAAGGAAAGAAATGGATTCTATCTGCTGGTTCGCTGTCCAAATGGTCACAACAGCTGGAGCCCTGAACCTGGAACTCCATCTGTGTTGTCTGGATGAGTAGCAGGGGCTCAAATTTTCCACTGCTTTTCCAGGATCATTAACAGAGAGTTAGGGGCCCAGCGCAATAGTGTAGTGGTTAAGAGCCTCACCTTGAACGCACCAGGAGGATCTCGTATCAGTGTCAGTTCTAATGCCGGCAGCCCTGCTTCCCATCCAGCTCCCTGCTGGAACAAGTGCCCGAAGGGGCATGCTCACTACTGCTGGCCACTCCACCAACTATGTCCTCTGCATTGAGCTCTCTACAGACCTACCTCTAAAGCACTGGTTAAACCGAGGGATGGCCTCACTCTGTCAGCTGGATAACTGATGTCAAATAGTAAAAGGCATTTCATGCTTAAACAAACAAACAAAAAACCACTAAGAACCAACAAGGCCGCAGCTTTTCTAAAGGATCTATGCAGCCAAGTCAGCTAATGCCTTATAAGGCATCTTGGTTTATGGTTGGAGGAGAGACTTGATGTTCCAGAGAAATGATGTGTGGAAGAAGCAAATGGGGGAAAACTGGGAAACTTGCTTCCTACACACTCTCTTATCATTAAAAGCATATTAAATTGATCCTAAAATTAAAATGTAAGCCTCAGTATAGCATTATGGTGCATTATGTTAAGCTGTCACCTGCATACACTGGCATCTTATATTGGAGCAATCAGTTCAAGACCCCACTGCTCTGCCTTTTTTTTTTTTAAGATTTATTTATTTATTTGCAAAGTCAGATATGCAGAAAGGAGGAGAGACAGAGAGGAAGATCTTTCTGATGATTCACTGCCCTAGAGACTGCAATGGCCAGAGCTGAGCCAATTTGAAGCCAGGAGCCTCCTCTGGGTCTCCCATGCTGGTGCAGGGTGCCTAGGCTTTGAACCGTTCTAGACTGCTTTCCCAGGCCACAAGCAGGGAGCTGGATGGGATGCGGGGCTGCCGAGATTAGAACCGGTGCCCATATGGGATCCCAGTGCATGTGCAAGGCGAGGACTTTAGGCACTAGGCTACCATGCCAGGCCTCACTGCTCTGCTTCTAATCCAGCTTTCTGCTAATACAGTTGGGAAAGCTGTGACAGAAGAAAACAAAACAGAAGAGCAGAATGTAAGCCCCAAAAGTCAGGGAAAATGTGGGAGTGGGTGAGACAGGAGCAGTAGATGCTGGAGGTATTGCCTTTCCCCTACATCCTTTAGCGACACCTTCTCTGCATCGCACTGATGAAATGTCTGCTGCCCGCTTTGCTTGTACTCGCTGTGATGAAAGGTGACTAACGCATGCTTTCTGTTGAAGCAGCCCCAGAGCAGCACAAGAGGGTCACTGTGATCTCGAGCTCGGTCTTGGCGATCTTCCCTCCGACGAGGAGGAAGTCATTGACAGTTCTGATGAAGATGAAGTCAGCTCTGAGTCTAGTAAAGGAGAACCTGACCTGCTGGAGGATAAACAGGTATATCTTGGCGTTTGTTTCTGCAGTGCTGTTTTCTGGCTCTTCTTGTATTTGGAAATATTAAAAAAAATATTTAATGTAAAATGGTGTAGCTGCTTTGACAAATATTCTGTTAGTTCCTCAAATGCTTAAATGTGGAGTTATCATGTGACACAACAGTTCCATTCTTTGGTATCTGCCCAAGAGAAATGAAGGTGTATGTCTACCAAAAAAGTGTACAGAAATGTTAATTGATCATTATCTATATAATTCAAAAGTGAGTGCAAAGAGTTCATTTTATGTCAACTGATGTGTAGATATGATAGCAAAAGGTCAACAATAAAGCAGAACAGGAAATGACTCATTGGACACTGAGTTTCATTTCTTTTTAGGATTTATCTATCTGTTTATCTGTCTATCTGAAGACACACACACACACACACACACACACACACACACACACACACACACACACACACAGAGAGAGAGATCTCATATCCCTTAGTTCATTCCCCCGCTGACCACAAGAGCCAGGTCTGGACCAGGCAGAAGACAGGATCCAGGAACTCCATCCTGGTATCACACATGGTGACAGGGATCCACAGACTTGGGCCATCTTCTGCTTCCTTTCAGGTACATTAGCAAGAAGCTGATTTGGGGGTAGAGTAGCCAGGAGTCGAACAAGAGGTCCAACATGGGGTATTGATAGCCAAGTGGCCATCGTTCCCTACTGAGCCACAGAGTTTGTTTTCTTGGTTTGTTTTTTAAGAATGAAAACATTGGGAAGCTCATTTGTAGTTGCGCTTGCACAAATGTGAATATGCTGAGAATCCCTGAGTTGTATACTTTAAAAGAATGAACATATTTATGATGTGTGAATTATGTCTCAGAATTTTTAATGAATAAAGAAATCCTACTGAAGGAGAAATGCCAATAAGTGGAAGGTTATTATTATGAAGCACATAGCATATAATCTTATACATCAGCCAAGGGTAGGCCACAAATTTAGCTTTTTAAATAACTGAAGTAAAGAAATTGTCAGTGACCAAAAGAAAAACAATTTTTAGAAGTAGTTGAGGAAAAATGTCTTTATGATTTCTATGACTCTTGCTTTCTCAATTTGTAAAACAGTATATTATTCTGAGTTGTATTGAGGCTCAAACAAGGTAGTAGTTTCAGAAGCACTTGGGAAATCCAGAAAGTTAATAACTGTTAAACAGAGATAAACTCCTTGTGCAGTTGCATTTGTGATATGTTTTGCTGACATTCAGGGACTGTTATAAAATCCCACAAAATGTGGCTTAAAACATTAGGAGCTTGTCTCAGTACGTGAAATTAGAAGTCCACAACCCAGATGTCAGCAGGATTCCATTTGACACCTGCAAGAGAGAATCTTTCCTGGCTTCTTCCTACTTGCTGGGAACTTGCTGGCCACTCGCCGGATGCCTAGAATTGAAGCCATAGTAGCACTTCACTCTATCTGCTGCATCCTGTGGTGTTGCCTACTCTGGTAAGGACATCAGTCACTCTGTGTTAGGGGGCCAGTGTAATCTCCTTTTAGCTTACCTACAGTGACTCTGTCCTCAAATACAGTCCCATTCTGAGGTCCTCAGTCAGTAGATAAACATTTTCCATGGGCATATTGTGTGCATGGCAGTGATGTTTCTTTAGATGCCAATAATCTCTCCTCATAAAAGGACTGGGTTTGGTAAGAGGAAAAACGATAAGTACTGTTGTATCCTCGTCTCTATTATATGAAGGAAAAGTAAACAGGAATTCAGAAGATGTTCCTGTGAAGTAAAAACAGCACCATGAAAAGAATAATTAACATTGTACCACTCCTGTATGTCTCTGCTTGTCAATGTATTACAATTGCTTCTTATTACATCTGGCTAATAAAAACAGCCTGTGATAAAGATAGGACATGCACATTTTTCTTTACATGAAAGAAGAGTTATAAGACTAGAGTTTGAGAGGAATTTTAACCAACATCAGTCTGTATTAATGACTTGGCAAAACCACAGAAGCTGAGTGATATTGATGGGATGTGTTTGCAGTGGGGTAACAGGCTGTACTAATCTCTGTTGTCACCTTTTCCAAGTTTTTAGTTTTATATTTCCTTTAGACAGGAAGAAAGAGATCCTCCACCTGCTGCTTCACTGCCCAAATGCCCACAATAGCTGGGGCCAGACCAGGCCAAATCCATGAGCCAAGATCTCTGTTTGCTGGCAGGAATCCAAGCGCTCGAGTTGCCGTTTGCTGCCTCCTAGGCACTTTGGGATGCAGGCATCCCAGACAGAGGCTTAGTTTATTGTACCACAGTACTGACCTATCTGTATTTCATAGACTTAGTACTTAATAAATGTTGATTAAGATAAATGAGAGGCGTTCATTCTGCTTAGTTATATTACCATGATTGCACTCTTAGCTTTTCTATTACATTTTTTTACATTCAAATATTTTATTTTGTTTTATGATATAATTCCTGTTACATTTTTTAAAATTTCCTTGTAAAGTAGATCATCTGGTACATCCTTCCAGGAGGAGAAGTATGAACTCCTAAGAGAACTTTGCCCTCTAGACATTAATCACGATGTCACCTTATTTTGGGGAATAACTTTATGATAAAGAGATGCCTCTCAGGCAGGTCTGAATATTAACATGTTTAATTTCTTTTGATTAGAAGTCTTGGGTAGAAGAAACTTTTTAATAAATGTATTGTAAAAAGTAATGGATAAGTTTCATTGAACATTTTTTAGAGAGCAAATACAAAAAGAAGAGAAGTTGGGTTATTACAGAGATTTGTGTGTAAAACTGAATTTCAGATCAAAGATTCTGTTTTGGATTTGACTTCTTTTATGACCTTCACAATGTCATTTGGTTTGTTTGTGGTTCATATTTCAACTCCCATAGCAGTGTACTTTTAGTAGATGCTATTATTTAGCAATTAGCCTGCTTTGAAATGTGATATAATTCAAGTCAGAGTTTTCATTGAGGTGCCAGATATGTCTTCTTTTGAGGTTTAACACTACAGTGTATTTTTCCATCATTGTTTGGTTTGGGTCAGAATCAGTTGTTGTTCTTAAAAGTTGGAGATTATATTTAGCCTTTAATTTTTGTTTTAGTAATCTTGTACTTTAAACATGATAATGTAATGATTCATAATCCAATAGTTATTATCTTTTCCAATTCTGTAGTTGTGCTGATTTAGAAGGTAGAGTAGATAATAGGATACATAAAGTCCCCCCTGCAGTTTAGGATTGGAAAGATCTTAATTATCTAGTCTAGCCCCACGCTTTCTCTGTGTTAAAAATTTCTTTTTTCTTTTAATTTTTTTTAAAGATTTATTTATTTTTATTGGAAAGGTTGATATACAGAGGAGGAGAGACAGAGAGGAAGATCACCTGTCCGATGGTTCACTCCCCAAGTGACTGCAACAGCTGGAGTCAAGCCAATCCGAAGCCAGGAGCTCTTCCAGGTCTCCCGTGTGGGTGCAGGGTCCCAAGGCCCTGGGCCTTCCTTGACTGCTTTCCCAGGTCACAGTTAGGGAGCTGGATGGAAAGCAGGGCCGCCAGGATTAGAACTGGTGACCATATGGGATCCTGGTGCGTGCAAGGCGAGAACTTTTAATTTTCCTATTTTGCAAGACATGTGCTCCAGTTTTCAATTCTGCTAAGGTAGCAACTACTTTTCTGCTTATTCATGAATATAAATTACACAATGGAGCAGACGCTGTGCTGTACACAGAAGGATCCAAAGGTGAATAAGATCAGAGAGTAGAGAAGGGAATTCAGTTCTGTAAATATTATATGAACAAGAGAGTAATCTGCCCTTTAGAGGGTGCCAGGAAGAGAACATCAGGCAGACTTAAAAGAAACACCTTTGAGTGCATTTCTAAAAGGGTGAGCTGGAATGTGACAGGCATATATTGTTTGGGAAGAGATGTTGAGGTAAAAGGAAAGGCATCTACGGAGGGCAGACATGTAAGGGCAGAGCATGCTAGGAGTTGCAGGATAGTTCCAGTTTGACTGGACTAAGGAGTGGGAGAGACGGGAAGGCTAGTGGGCATGTTGCGAAGTGCCTGAAAAGTAAAGGTTGGTCTTTGTTGTCTTTATGTGCTGCTAATGTGGTTCAGCCTGAGAACTAGAATGCTTCTGTTTGCCCTCTAGAAATAACCTGATGTCTGTGTAAAGAACGGATTGCAGACAAGTAAATTTAGAGCCAAAACCAAACAGAACGAAAAAACAAAAAACCAGCTCAAGTTAATGCAGTAGTGTAGTCAAGACCTCAGAAACCATTGTAAAAGGGGGAAAGGACCAGTTAAGCTTTGTAGAAATATTCAACAGGAGTGACTGACAGAACGTGTTGACTCACTGGTGAGGATAAATGCTGGCTGAGGACAAGAAAGATAGTTCAAATTACTGATTGTTGATGAGTGTGTATAGTAGCTAATATAAGGAAGTCTGAAGGTTCCATGTTTGAATCCTGCTGAAATAAACTGAGAATAGATCTGCAGAAGAAAGAGTGCAAATCTGTTAACATGCAGATTCCTAAGGGCAACACAAAGTGAGAAAACTCAGAGGAACCAGATGGTTAACCCATAAACATTCCTTTCATGTGGGGAAGGGATAAGAGAGTTTGTAGCCAATTTTACAGGGACTTTTTTCTTTGGATCCATTCTTTGCTCTAAAAGTCCAAATCAAAAGTGAATGGGTCCAAAGTACAAGTGTATTCCTGGGACAAAGTTTTTCTGGGCTTGGGGGTAGATGACAACAGGTTACAGGGTAGTGAGCAACAGAATTGCACCAAGAACAAAGGTTGTCTTGCTGTGCAGTCTCTCCCGTGGCAATCCTGAGAGCGTGGATGGTGTATGTAGTGTAAATAGGTGACACTCCTTTACTCTACCGTAAGTTACTGTTCATTAACCAAAGTTAATAATTTTAGGGAGGGAATTTAAGATAATCACATTTTTGCTGTGACATTGTGAACCACTTGCTCTTGCCAACTGCCCTGGAGGTACTCCAAAAGCCAAAAATCCATAGTTGCATTTCTTTTGGAAGAACCATATTCAGTCTACTAAGGGAACTTGAGAGAGCCCAGCCATGCACTTGAGTGGGGATAGAGGGTACAGGATATTGGGGAACTCTTAAGGGTAGGACAGCTTCTGTCAACACTAGTCAGTAGGCACTTGATAAATTGTTCTAAGAGTGAAGTGTATCAGCTGCTTGATCTTTTGAAAAGCCTTTCCTGGTTTCCTCACTCTTGCCTATTTCTAATCTTGCTGTTCTTCACAGTGTCAGTGTATTATATTTACGGCATCCGTATTTATAATTTTACATTTGGCTTGCTCTCCCTATGCACAACTAAAAGATTACAGCTATTTCTTTCATTTCCTTTTCTAGTCCCTCTCAAACTACAGTGTCAGTTTCCGTGATAGTTAACTGGAAATCTGAAATTAAATATCTGCCTGGTGATTCATCATGTAATGTAGTAAATCTTAGGTTAAACAGTGAGAAACCGGGCCTGGTGCAATAGCCTAGTGGCTAAAACCTTCACTTTGAATGCACCAGGATCCAATATGAGCACCGGTTCTGATCCCGGCGGCCCGGTTTTCCATCCAGCTCCCTGCTTGTGGCCTGAGAAAGCAGTTGAGGACGGCCCAAAGCCTTGGGCCCCTGCACCTGCGTGGGAGACCCAGAAGAAGCTCCTGGCTCCTGGTTTCAGATTGGCTCAGTTCCAGCCATTGTGGTCACTTGGGGAGTGAATAATTGGACTAAAAGATCTTCCTCTCTATATATCTGACTTTGTGATAAAAATAAACCTGTTTTAAAAATCATGAGAAACTCTGCTAAACGCTGTTAGTAATCAACTTTAACTTTTGGCAAATCCATTTCATGTAGGTCTTCTGTTTTTCCAGCGCTCACTTTATATACCCCATCTGTTTTTTTGTTTGTTTGCTTTTAAAGATTATTTTATTTATTTATTTATTTTGCAAAATTAGATATACAGAGAGGAGGAGAGACAGAAATGGTTCACTCCGTCCGATGGTTCACTCCCCAAGTTACTGCAATAGCTGGTGCTCGCAGATCCGAAGCCGGGAGCAAGGAGCTTCCTCCAGGTCTCCCACGCGGGTGCAGGGTCCAAAGCCTTGGGCTGTCCTTGACTGCTTTCCCAGGCCACAGGCAGGGAGCTGGATGGGAAGTAGAGCTGTTGGGATTAGAACCAGTGCCCATATGGGATCCCAGTGCGCGTTCAAGGCGAGGACTTTAGCCACTAGGCCACGGCGCTGGACCCTACCCCATCTGTTTGATCTCATTCACTGTCATGGCTTTAGTAACCACTTATTATCTAATGGGTCTCAATATAGTTTTCTAAAAAAAAAATTTCCCCTTATCTAGTTTCTTTTGAGCACAAAAATGATTACAGTGAAAAAATTAATTTAAAAAATGTTTTATTTATTGATTTGAAAGGCAGAGTTAAAGGATCTTCCATTCTCTGGTTCAGTTCCCAAAGGGCCACAGAACTATATCTGAGTCTGGCTAAAGCCCAAAGGTTATAACTGTATGGCTCTTCCAAGTGAATGGCAGGGACCCAAGTAATTATACCATCTTAGTCTGTCTTTCTAAGCACATTAGTAGGAAACTGATTTGGAAGTAGATCAGCCAGGACTTGAATTGGTGCTCCTGGGCTGCTAACCAAAATGTGCCACAATATTGTCCAGTTAACAGACTGCATATTGGGCCTGGCGGCGTGGCCTAGAAGCTAAAGTCCTCGCCTTGAACGCACTAGGATCCCATATGAGCACCGGTTCTAATCCCGGTGACTCCACTTCTCATCCAGCTCCCTGCTTGTGGCCTGGGAAAGCAGTTGAGGACGGCCCAAAGCTTTGGGACCCTGCACCCACGTGGGAGACCCGGAAGAAGTTACTGGATCCTGGCTTCGGATTGGCATAGCATTGGCCGTTGTGCTCACTCAGGGAGTGAACCCTCGGACAAAAGATCTTCCTCTCTGTCTCTCCTCCTCTTTGTATATCTGACTTTCCAATAAAAATAAATAAATCTTTAAAAAAAAAACATACTGCATAAACGTAGAGTGGTGGTAAAGACTCTGACACTCGCATGGCTGTGAATTAGTGAATTTCTAGCTGCTGTTTTGAGTTTAGCTTCCCACTGTTGTACACTTGAAATCAGCTTATCCTTCATCTTTCCTACATTTGTCATTTGAGATAATATATAGTGTTAATTGCAAGTAATATGAAATCTATAAGTATCAAGATTAAAATTCGTGTTTACCTTGGTCATAGCTGATCTTCATTATCCTTTATGAGTGTCATACTTTCTTAATGTTTTCTTATGCATAGGCTGAAGATACTGGAATGAAAAGTAAAGTTCATCATATTGCCAAGGAGATTATGAGCTCAGAGAAAGTGTAGGTATCTAATTTTATAATCTGATGGTTCTGCCCCACCCCCATTGCATGTTTTAAACATTTTTTTATTGCTGTTTTCTACAGGTTTGTGGATGTATTAAAACTTCTGCATATTGTAAGTATCTACTAATATTTCTTGAGGTTTAAGACTAATATCTTTTGTATTTTTCCCAACCCAAAAAGTTTTCAGCATAACTAATTAAATGAATTACGTATATTTTTAAATTAACAGATTCAGTATATGCACATGTGTATATTTTTAATGCGTGTGTTTCATATATAAGTACATTTACCCAGATGATTAAAAAATAAAACTTTTAAATGTCAAGTCTTCAAACTTTGTATTCTCAAGAGAAAAGTTTTAAAGGGATAATATATCTTCTTGGCCAGTATGTCTTCTTGGCCATTTGCATGCTTCCTGTCAGTAGAAATTTGGACTAAAATATGTTGTTATCATTTTTCCAACTGTGTTTTTTTTATATATATCTGACTAAGCCCCCAGAAACAGACAATTATAACTGTTTAAAGTTTTATTTTTAGTTCTTGTAATTGTCAACCTGAACAGACTTGTTGGAACAGTTACGATTTGTCTTAACTGCATATTCACTTTTTCATGCTCTGCTTTGTACTTGGAAGCTTTCACAAGTTTAATTAAATATTGGCAATTAAAATGCTCTTAGTGTTATACATTCTAACTGTATTTTAGCAAACTGTCAAGATTTAACAAGAGAGGAACAGAGTAGAGGAAACAATAATAAAGAAATTGAAGTGAAAATTTACCTATGTGGTGTAAGTATAGAAATGACGAGTTAAAACTTGATTGCTAAGAGTTGTAAGATTCACAAAGTACGTTCCCATTTTTGTCTCTGAAGAATATCATTATTATTGGGCTTCCTTTTAATAAATATATCTGAACATGGGAAGTGGGTACAGTTCCAGGAGATTCACATTTCCAGCAGTATTACCTTTGGGCTCTATTCTTGATCCAGTGGAAACATGGAAGCCTAATTCATGGGTAAAACATTTCCAACTTTTAGAAACATTTTTATATAAAATGCCTTAATACTAAGCACTCATATGGATAAAACTTACCCTGGGAATATTTTCTCACATTAAATTTGGGCTATATTGGTACATTCTCTTTTGTAATTAGCTTTTCCCTCTCTCTTGTTCTTCTTTTCTGTAATTACCTTTTCTAAACTGATAGCACAGTTGGGGCAGGAGTTCATCATAGTGGATAAGATACCCTTTGGGAACTCACATTCCATACTGGAGTGTCTTTTTCATTCTAGCGTCCTGTTAATTTCTATCCTGGAGATGGGCTTAAGCAACAGGTGATCGCTCCAGTGTTTGTGTCCCCACCACCCATGAAAGTACGAGACCCAGGTAAAGTTCCTGGCTCTTGGTTTTTCCTGGCCAGCTCCAGTTTTTGCATGCATTGGGAAGTAAGACAGTAGATAGAAGTATTTTTTTCTCTCAATTCTCTCTTGCCTCATCAATAAAATGTTTAAAGGCACATTTTAAAAGGAATAAAATCTTTTGTAGTTCTCACATTTTTCCTATCTTAAAATTAGCTCATCGTAGTGTACTGAATGCACTTGTCTTTTGAGTCTTGTGAACCATTTGATTGTCATTTAGTCTGTCTTAAGAAAAACTCCCTTTGCTTCTGCTGATGCTTTCAAACCCTCCCACTCAGCAGCCTGATCGCTGTGCAGAGAGCTCTGCTTCCCTAAAGAGGTTCACTGTTGAGAACCCCTTTATCTGCTGAGGGGTTTCCCCTCCTTGGTTTGAAATTTCTCTCTCTTAATATGCTTTTCTTCAGACCCTTCTTTCCAAAGTTAGAAATATCCTACAATGATTATGTGATTATTTAAATTAACTTGAGCTCCCTTAACTTAATTAATGGTATACTTAGTGTTTTCTATGTGACTTGCCAAATCCTAACTGTGTTACATAGATCACCTAGTATAATCCTCCTAACAATTGCTTCAAGTAGAGATTATTTCTGTCTGTTAAATGAAGAGAATATGCTCTCAAATGTAATGCATTGCTAAATGGTGAAGTTTGATAATTGAGTCTAGTTTGTCTGAGCCTTTACACTTAGTGATTGTTTATATGATGATAAAAATTATTTCTGGAGATCTCTGCTAGATAGGATATAATGTATCTCCTTGCTTTCAAAAGGTTCTTGATTGCCCTGGACATCACTGGACACCAGACCAATTCTAGATTTTAAGCTATCAGATATGAAAAAGAAGCCAGAAGCTGATCACTTATGATATATTATTCTGATATTTAATAATGTCAAAAAGGAGGATGGAAATTTGGCATAAAGGATGAGTTTCAGTTAGGTATTATATAGTATTTCATTCATGGTTATACATATTACCAGAGCTGCACACATTAAGAGGGAGGACTAATTTCATTGAAAGCACATTTTCATTTTAGAAATAATTTGTTGGTGTGGGGACGTTCCACTCCGTAACTTCACAGTTTCACACTCATGTCTGCATATTTGTCATAGCTCTTTGACCTCATCAGCAGCTTTGCTTTTGCCTAAAAACAAAGTATCATTTGTGTATCAGACATCCCTAGATGCCAGGCTCGCTAACTGTCCATATATCCACTTGGATTTTGTAATTCACTGTATACTGGTAGTGGTTAAGCAATGCCCTCAGGTCAAGAAGCCCAGACTGGACAAGTGGTGATTAAGTCACTTACTCCTCTTTGGCCCTGGAGTTATGAAACCCGATCCAGTGATTAGGCCATCTGCTTTATGCTCCATTGCTTCAAACTGTTCTTACATACTTGTTCATTTGTATTTTTATTTATGTTCTCTTGGAGGGCTCAGAGCTAAGGAAGGCTAATATGTGAAATCCTCAGTGTGATTAAGTTCAGTTTAATATTGATCTGGTTCTTAAGTGTAGGTTTTGTGGGGATTATTAAGAATAAATAATATTATGATGTATTTTATCATTCAGAGCCCATTATGAAAATTCTAGCTTGAACAAATGTTGCGTCATTACCATGAGAAAGGTAAAAGTGGTGCTTATTGCTTTGGTTCATTTTGTATACTGCATTGTTGGTGAATCATGGTCTAGAGGCTGTGGTCTATGTTAGTTGGTTCCTAAAAAACTTTGAATTTGCCTAACATTTTTTTAAAGATTTATTTTATTTTATTATTGGAAAGGCAGATACACAGAGAGGCGGGGAGACAAAGAGAAAGATCTTCTGTCCGGTGATTCATTCCCCAAGTGGCCACAATGGCCAGAGCTAAGCCAATTCGAAACCAGGAGCCAGGAGCTTCCTTCAGGTCTCCCACACAGGTGCAGGATCTCAAGGCTTTGGGCCGTCCTCGACTGCTTTCCCAGGCCACAAGCAGGGAGCTGGATGGGAAGTGGAGCTCCTTGGATTAGAACCGGTGCCCATATGGGATCCAGGTGTGTTCAAGGCGAGGCCTTTAACCACTGTACTATCACGCCAGGCCCAACTTGCCTAACATTTTTCTAAAAATATATATTCCTTTGAAACTTAAAAAAAAATCATTTTTAAAATTAGTGTTAATAGAAAGAGGAGGAGTTGGGGAGAGAGAGAAAGAGAAATAAATTGATCTTCCATCTGTTGATTCATCCCCTACAAGGCTACAACAGCCAGCATCATCCTGGCCAAAGCCAGGAGCCAGGAGCTCTGGGTGACAGGATCCCAGACACTTGAGCTGTGTCCTACTGCTTTCCCCAACCTTTCAAAGGAAACTGGGTCGGGTGTGGAGCAGCCCCAGAACATGAACTATTGCCCATGTGGGATGCCAGTGTCAGCCAGGGACTTTACCCACTATGCCACAATACCTAATGTTGTTATGCTCTTTCTCATTCTTTTTCTTCTGATTACCTGGCATTTTTAATGTAAAACGATAAACTCTGGATCTAATTATTCAGGGGCTAGTTTGTTGTCTGCAGCCTAAGTGATTTAGTTCAGGAGGTGTTGGTGAATTTAGATTGTTCTTCCCAAAAATAGCTTTGCCTCTGGCTCATCACACTTTCCCAAGTTATTCTGGCTGTTAACATTTACAAAAACAACCAGACATATGTTGTAATAATCATCCTTTTTTATGAAAAAAAAAAGGGGGGGTGTAAAGTTGCCTCCTTTTCAGTAGTACTGGTATTGGCAATGGTTGAGGTTTATAAAGAGCTGAGAAGTTGCAGATTCTGTGTGGTTTCAGGGTGGGAATTGGTTACATCTGCCGTGGGGCCACAACCCTTGCTTTCAGAGAACAGTTGCCCAAGAAGTGAGGGCATGAAAGTAGGGTAGAGGCTGCTTTGTATTGTTATGGAAACTATACATTCCAAATGGAGCCATTGATGTGCATTGCCTTGACCTAAGAAAACCAGTGCCTTTTGCTGAATTTAAAAATGCACCACAAGAACCGATGATGGTCTTGATATATAGCCTTTAAGAAGAAGTATTTGATGACACCTGTTAAAACAGGGTAGATAAACTTTATTCATGGCTATCATTGTAGGCCCAAGGATCCATGTTGTGGGATTGTAGAGTGCAGGAGAGAGCTCTTAGGCTCAGTTTCAAATATAGCATGGGCAAGGGAGTAGTGTGTAGCTTAGGGGAAAACGGGAGTCAGTGGATAAAAGATGACTAAGAACACGGCTGGTAAAGGGGGACTCAGGCTAACACTGATGACTGCTGAAGAAAGGTCTGGATGGTTAGACTTCATCCAGAAGATGAGGAGTTAGGAGGTGGGAGTGGTTCGTGCTAAGACTCTGTTTTACAAGGAAATGCACAAATGTGCCAAGGAGAAGATTCAGAAACCTCACTTGTTTAGTCAACAACTTTTTCAGCAAGTGCTTACTTAGCATAATGTTATGGATCTTATACATATATATGCTCTAAGTTCCAATAGTCTTAGCTGAATGCTATTTTATTTCTAGATTTGTATTTTATGCTGATGTACTATTAGCTCATCACTAACTATCTATAAATATCTACTAGGACTGGAAAAGAGTCTTGTTTTGCTACTCTGTGCTGGGGTCCTCCCATCTTTAGCAGCTATCTCACCAGTCATCCCAGTGTGGGGTCTGCTGGTCTCTGTTAAATATGTTGTAAATCAGCTCATTTCCTTTTTGGCAGTGGTGGCAGACAAGGAATGTAGAATTGGGCAAAGCTGGGTCCTTAAGTTACTTAGCAGCTAACATCTACTGTCACTGTCATGGCTGAGGCAATACCTTCCAACTGGAAAACAAAAGTTATTTTGCTGCCAAAACACAAATAGTCATCACTTACTTTACTAGAAGAAAGGACCAGACTTACTGCTTCGCTGAGCTAGGAATTCTTACATCTAAATTAGATGAATCACTAAACTGAATTAAAAAAAAAAAAGCAGAAGCTGTTTCATTTCTGTGAGCTGAATACATTTACAACTGAGGTAGTTTTTGCTAACATGTAAATAGATCCTGTTGTTTCTGATAGCAGGCAGTCTAATGACTTTAAGTGTTAAATATCTATTTTCTCTTGGTAAATAAATGTGAGTGCTGATTGAAGCAAGCTGCTGGAGGTGGGACTTGGCCCGGGTCCCTTGGTTTCTGGAAATACTTTGTGCATTTTTCTGGGTGGAGTTTATACAGTTAAACATTCTAATTCCTAATTAGCAATACAAGTTAATTCTTTAGTTATTGGTGTAAAAATGTCGGTTCCTCTGGGCTAATGTGACATGGCTCAATAAAGGTTAAAGGTCGTCAATGGTACTGAGTATAAAGGGTTTTTAAACATTTTTAAAGTTTTGTCTTATCTGAAATACCCATCCATTATAAAAGAATCCATTTATATATATTTTAGCTGTTCTGTGTGAGGAAATGTGAGACACTTGGTAGTACATATTCGTTTCTGTCAGGGATGTCAGGATCCAGGGAAAATGCAGTGTTTTTCTCTGTATGCTTGCTGCACATAGGGAAAGCCTGCAGATAAAATGTTGGAAATAATGACCAAAGATGATAAAGCCAAGGAAGGAACAAATCTTTTGAATCCTCGGTACCATGAAAAATTTTGAAGTTTATTTACTTATTTGAAAGGTATAGTTAACAGAGAGAATCAGAGACAGAAGTCATCTACCTGCTGACTGACCCCAGAAATGGCCTCATCATTGGAGCTGGACTAGTCCAAAGCCAGGAGCAGGTGCTTCTTCTAGGCATCCTCGTGGGGGCAAGGGCACAAGGGCCAGGGCCATCCTCTGCAGCCTTCACAAGCACGTCAGCTGGCAACTGGATCAGAACTGGGGCAGCTGGGACTCAAACGAGTGCCCATGTGGGATCCCAGTGTCCCAGGCAACTGCTTTACCCACTATACCATAATACTGACCTAAAACTGTTTTACTTAGGGCTTGAGGCCTACTGTTAGGAAGCATTGGAATTCAGTCAAGTAATTGTCTCCTATTGTATCCTTTCCAAGTCCTCTGGAATGAGAGGGTGCGGTGATGGCACCTATATTTAACTATGCTCTAGGAAATTTCTAGGTAGCAGTAGATGAAAAGTAATATGTGAGGAATTTTTGTTTGTTTGCGAAAAGTGTAACTTTTGGTGGATTTATAATGAGGTTGGCTGGAAGGAAGGGAGAACTTATAAGGATAACATGTTTTGGTTGATTCTGTAAACAGACATGTTGCAAAAGCTTTTACTTGCACTATGTAATTAGAGTCTCAAAACAGTTAATGTACTCACTTAACTGGAGAGGAAAATGAAGCTACACGAGGACAGCATAATAAAATAAGAACAAGAGTCTGGATCCAGGGCTCATGGTGAGTCATTGCTTCCGTCCACATGTCTCACCTGGAATGCTGCAGTTGTTGGACAAGATTTCTGACAGTGGACGTGCAAGCAACTGCATCCCATGAGCAGTTTGTGTCACAGCTGCTCTACTTCCATTCCAGCTCTCTGCTTCTGGTCTCAGAAAGCAGTGGAGGACGGCCCAAAGCCTTGGGACTCTACACTCATGTGGGAGACCCAGAAAAACATCCTGGCTTTGGATCCGCTCCGCCCCAATCACTGCAGCCATTTGGAGGGTAAACCTGTGGATGAAGTATCTTTCCATCTCTCCTTCTCTCTAAACTTGCCTACCCATAAAAATAAACAGATCATAAAAATAACTAAATAAAAATTTCTGAGCAGCACAGTAACTTTTACATACAGAATAACAGTTAAAATGTCTTAAAGGGTTTTTTTAAAAAGTGTATTGTGGTTACACAATGGAACTGAAATTACTTTACAGAGTTTTAATACAATTTCTAGGACCTTATTAATATAATTTGAGGTTCAAAATTATGCTGAAAGATAAGTGAAGTCCCAAATCTGTTCTGATCTTTTCTGCTCTGTTGAAGAGGAAAAGAGAGAGCACTCTCCTGTTGGCTGGTTCACTCTCCCAGAGCCGGCAGTGGCGAAAGCAGAACTGTGAGCTCATTGCAGGCCTCCCGAGTGTAGGACAGGAACCTGGTCACTGAGCCATCTCTGCCACCTCTCAGGCACTCAGAGATGGCATGTGGGTGTCCCAGCAGGCATCTTACCCGCTAGTCAAAACAGCTCTTTGCTCAGTCTCTTTTAAAATCAAGTAAAGCCACCACAATGGCTGCATTATCTAAGTTAGTAGGGTGTGGGGTAAGAGGAAGCAAATATATTCGATTTCTAATTCTGCAAATACCACTGTGCAGTACCTCATTTTTGGGAAGAAGGTGTTTCATTCGAGAAAACTTTTCATCGAGTTTCTGTGCTTCTGTATGTGTTACTTTTTCTCCTCTGGATTTTAATAGGACTTCCGGGATGCAGTAGCCCATGCTTCTAGGCAACTCGGGAAAGCAGTGATTGAGGACCGAATTCTCAACCAGATCCTATACTACCTGCCCCAGCTGTATGAGCTCAACCGGGATCTCCTGAAGGAGTTGGAGGAAAGAATGTCGAACTGGTAAAAATGCACTGAGTTGTGGTTTTGTAGTTTTCAGTTTCAGGTAAAGCTCAGGACCCATGCATGTGGTCAGGAGGTGTTCCTCACACTGCTGTTTTGTCATAGTGAATCTGCTTAGTTGTCACCTACAGTTTGGTTATATCATGTTGGATGGCAGAATCCCTGACCGAGGCACGCTGGACGTCATGCTGCCTTAGATGCGAGAAGAACCCATGATAAGTAGCTTAATTTTCTACAAATGACCTCTGGTGAAACTGGAGGAAGATGGTTGAAAAATTCATATTGCGAAAGTTTTTAAATGTTTCATCTATCTTCTAAATGAATCTCTGCATTTTTTTTTTCAAAACAGGCCATTCACTGAGATAATAGGTACATTTTTTGTTTCAGAGAGTAAATTTGTATATGAAAGATACCAAAGACTTCAGAAAAGACAGAATAAATAAAAGGTTATTATTGGAAAATAGCCAGGTATTCCATTCATGAAATATGGAATTAAAAGTGAGGTTTGCCTTGGTACAGAAAATTTTAAAAACAAGATTTATTTATTTGAAGGAATTACAGAAAGGAGGAGAGAAAGACAATCTTCCTCCCCCCGATTTATTTCCCAGGTGGCTGCCACAGTCAGTGCTTGGCCAAGCCAAAATGGGGAGCCAGGAGTTTCTCCCAGGTTTCTCACATGAGAACAGGGCCAAAGCACTTGGAAGATCCGTTGCTGCATTCAGGCACTTTAGATGGAAACAGAATGGGAATCAGAGCATCAGGACTCAGGGCATTGGAGGCTGAGGTGTAACTAGCGATGTGATAACACCAGCCCCCAATACACTCTTCATAGATGTTAACTGGGGAATGTTAGGTCTGGAGGAATCTTGGGCACACCAAGCCATTTGAAAATGCTGACCAAGTAAGCTCATCCTTGGGTGCAGCATAGAATTCACCAGGTTTTCCTTACTTATTCTGATTTTATCCCTTTAAATTCCTTTTTACTATTAAGATATAACATCAATGTATGAGATGACTTACGTATTTTTATGTATTTACTTTTAAATTTATTCATTTGAAAGAGAAAGTTAGGGCCTGGTTCGGTAGCCTAATGGTAGTCCTCACCTTGCACCCGTCAGGATCCCTTAAGGCTGGTTCTGATTCTGGCAGCCCTGCTTGCCATCCAGCTCCCTGCTTGTGGCCTGGCAAAGCAGCTGAGGATGACCTGAACCCTTGGGACCCTGCACCCATGTGGGAGACCAGAAAGAGGCTCCTGACTTCGGATCAGTGCAGCTCTGGCTGTTGAGGCCTCTTGGCGAGTGAATCATTGGATGGAAGATTTTCCTCTCTGTCTCTTCTCTGTATGTCTGACTTTGCAATAAAAATAAAATAAATCTTTTTTAAAAAGAAAGTGAAAATTAAAGAACAAGAGGGAAACATCAAGAGTGGAGAGATTTTCCACCTGCTAGTTCATTCCCCAATGTTGTAACAGCCCAAGCTGGGTCAGGACAGAGCCAAGAATCAGGGGCTTCTTCCAAATCTCCCCATGAGTAGCAGAGAGGTAAACCCATGGGCCACCTTCCACTGCTTTCCCCAGGTCATGAACAAGGAGTAACAGCTGGAATACAACAGACGCGCACATGGGTGCTGACTCTGCAGCCAGCAGCTTGAGCTGTCAGTTTGGCCCCTGTAATATACTTGGGGTGTTAGAAACAATGGAGAAGAAACTAAAGTCATTTCTGAATTTCACTTGTTTGAAGTACCCCTCTACCTCCGTTGAACTTAAAAAAAAAATTAAGCATAAGCTTTTGTGACATTTATGGAAATGATGGAAAGATTGTCCTAACTGGTATGGATTCACTCTTGATGGCCATGGAGAGTGCAAATGCTTATAGTAAAAAAATTTTATCTATTTTACAATCATATTTCTCGCTCTGCTTTTCATATGACCTAGAAAAAACACTCAGCCTTTGTTTAAAAGTTTCTGCCTGTCATATTATAAAATACACTAGATAAACGAGGAATACTTAGTTATAAGTATGAAAGCACATGTGAGTAAGAGCTGAAGAATGATTTTAATATTGGGCCCGGTGCAGTAACCAAGCGGCTAAGGTCCTCATCTTGAACGCACTGAGATCCTTTATGGGCACCGGTTCTACTCCCAGTGACTCTACTTCCCATCTAGCTCCCTGCTTGTGGCCTGAGAAAGCAGTCGAGGGTGGCACAAAGCTTTGGGACCCTGCACCTGCATGGGAGACCAGGAGGCAGTTCCTGGCTCCTGGCTTCAGATTGGCACAGCACCAGCTGTTGAGGTCACTTGGGGAGTGAATCATCGGATGGAAAATCTTCCTCTCTGTCTCTAATCCTCTTTGTATATCTGACTTTCCAATAAAAATAAATAAATATATATAGTTTTAAAGAATCATTTTAATGTTGGGAACAGCATAGTGGCTCAGTGGCTCATCCTTTCCTTGCATGCACCAGGATCCCTTATCGGCACGTGCTCATATCCTCGCTCTCCACTTTCCATCCAGCTCCCTGCTTCTGGCCTGTTAAAGCAGTAGAGGATGGCGCAACGCCTTGAGACCCTGCACAAGCATGAGATACCAGGAAGATACTCCTAACTGAGAAATTCTACTGAAGGGTTTGTGAAGTTAGCTTCATAAATACCTAATTATATTCTATTTATACATCCAACCTAGCACTGTTGTGATGAAACTCAAATAATTTTTTTTAAAAGATGTGTTTATATTTGTGGAAAGTCAGATTTACAGGAAGAAGCAGACAGAAATATTTTCCATCCACTGGTTCACTCTCAAAGCGGCTGCAGTGGCCAGAACTGAGCTGATCCAAAGCCAGGAGCTTCTTCCAGGTCTCCCACACATTTGTAGGGTCCTAAGGGTTTGGGCTGTCCTGTACTGCTTTCCCAGGCCACAAGCAGGGAGCTGGATGGGAAGTGGAGCTGCCGGGATACAAACTGGTGCACGCAAGAGGAGGAACCCAGCCACTAGGCTACTGTACTGCGCCTGAATTCAAACATTTTTCAAGCTAAGGGCATCAGTACCTCGTTTTACAGAAATGTGACATGCAGTTTGTGACAGGTTGCAAGTTGTGGAATATTAAATATTTCTTTCAATATAGTCCTTACTAATAATATACTAGTGGGGAATTACAAAGAAACCAGTAGTTAAACTGAATTTGTATCTGCTTTCTGCATCAGGTGTTATTTTATCCTAACTTATTTAAAAATCTTGTCTTTAACGAGTCCTCGGCCTCCCCCAGGACCCAAGAGAGCTCTTCCCTCAGGGTAAGTCCGCCATGAGGGAACTTGGGAACTGGGTGGAAATTCCTAGCTCCGCCCAGCTGCTAAGACCATGCGGCTGGGGGAGTTTGGGAGGAGTTCGGTCCTTGGGCTCTGGGGCAACTGACGCTCCCTGCAGTGTGGCTACTGTGGGGGGTGCCCCTGCCGGGTCGGACCCAATGCGGGGGACTCACGCCAAAGACACTGCCACAAGGCAGTGAACGAGTCCTCGGCCTCCCCCAGGACCCAAGAGAGCTCTTCCCTCAGGGTAAGTCCGCCATGAGGGAACTTGGGAACTGGGTGGAAATTCCTAGCTCCGCCCAGCTGCTAAGACCATGCGGCTGGGGGAGTTTGGGAGGAGTTCGGTCCTTGGGCTCTGGGGCAACTGACGCTCCCTGCAGTGTGGCTACTGTGGGGGGTGCCCCTGCCGGGTCGGACCCAATGCGGGGGACTCACGCCAAAGACACTGCCACAAGGCAGTGAACGAGTCCTCGGCCTCCCCCAGGACCCAAGAGAGCTCTTCCCTCAGGGTAAGTCCGCCATGAGGGAACTTGGGAACTGGGTGGAAATTCCTAGCTCCGCCCAGCTGCTAAGACCATGCGGCTGGGGGAGTTTGGGAGGAGTTCGGTCCTTGGGCTCTGGGGCAACTGACGCTCCCTGCAGTGTGGCTACTGTGGGGGGTGCCCCTGCCGGGTCGGACCCAATGCGGGGGACTCACGCCAAAGACACTGCCACAAGGCAGTGAACGAGTCCTCGGCCTCCCCCAGGACCCAAGAGAGCTCTTCCCTCAGGGTAAGTCCGCCATGAGGGAACTTGGGAACTGGGTGGAAATTCCTAGCTCCGCCCAGCTGCTAAGACCATGCGGCTGGGGGAGTTTGGGAGGAGTTCGGTCCTTGGGCTCTGGGGCAACTGACGCTCCCTGCAGTGTGGCTACTGTGGGGGGTGCCCCTGCCGGGTCGGACCCAATGCGGGGGACTCACGCCAAAGACACTGCCACAAGGCAGTGAACGAGTCCTCGGCCTCCCCCAGGGCGGCCAGTGCACCACATGGTGCCAGGCATTGCCTGCTGGCCGCCCGGAAGGGCAAACTCTGGGGTTTTCAAGATATGTAGTTGCTGCCTGGGGTCACTCATGACTAAGACTAGGTTGAATGTAGGTGCAAAGTGAATTTTCGGGTATTCTCAGTGACAGGGTCATGAAAGATTTAAGCAGGCAAGGGGACCAAGACCTAGTGGTTTGGGGGAAGTGTCCAGAAGATAATTTTAGTAAGACAGATGCAACAGCTCAATTATGAATACAGAGATGGGATATTAGTATAGAACATCACTGATCACCACATACTAGCCCACACCGAAGCTATGGATGGGGGCCTCTTTGGCAGTGTTGGGTACCATTGCCCGACTGAGTGTTGGAGTTGTGGAGTGGTCACATTTGGCAGGATCAAGACACTCTCCAGCACACAAGAGAACTTGGGCTGGGGGTAGGCTCTGTGGGGTTGTGTGGGCCCAACCCTTTGGAATACAAGTCCCCCGGGTTAGTTCCCAAGCTGGGGTTGCAATGGTCTAAGCTAGGTGTGACCACGCCATCTGCCATCACTCATGGGTAAAGGAATCCACAACAGTCAGGGTAGGTCAAGGCAGCAGCACCCAAATGTGCATCTTTAAACAAGATGTGGGGTGGGCCGGGCTGCCACTGGAAGGGGGCAGAATGGGCAGGGCTGA